TATCTTAAGGATTAATGGCAGCAGTGACACTTTTCCCAACATCAAATTTAATGTTTTTGTTTTCCTTTAGGTGAACCTGATGATTCTAATTACACTGCGGCTGGTGCTGCTGTCAATGTCATGTAAGCATAGTTAATTACTCCGACCTTGTCTTCCTTTACCTTTCCAAACTTTACAAAGAGACATTTCGCCTTGTTCTCTTTTATAAGAGAAATATGCAACAATCGATTTAGACGTAAGAAGATAAATGTACACAGTCAAGCTACAAGCATTCAACTGAAGCTGAGGAGAAATAAGGAAAAGAAAGATTGCATCTCTTGAAACCATGAATATGCTTTCAACAATGTTTTCCAAGCGAGAAAATTAAAACATAAGCATAGTACGCAAATAGAAATAAAATATCACTATTTCTGCCTCTTTAGGGACACGCTTGAACCCCTCATCTACAAAGCATATCACTTTTTTCATGGCCACTGGTAAAAGCACTCTTCAGATAAGCTAGAGGTCACGGGATTGAGTCGAGCCGGTCCCAACTGAGAATATTTTACTATCTACAATTCTCGTTCAAAGTTAGAAAATTCAAATTACAAAACATTTATCTTTTTTTCTCATTTCATCTCTGCAGATCTGCTAACCTTCAAGATTTGTCTAAAGGCATCAAAATGATTGCCAGTCTTCTTGACGATACTGATGACAGCAACAAACTGCTAGATGCAGCTCGTGGATTGGCATCAGCATTCTCTAATATGTTGAAAGCTGCTCAGGAAGGATCCAATGGCGACAAAGAGGTAAATAACACAATGTATTTATATATTGGTTTTGGACATTATAAGGTGTTAAACATTTTGCTGTTTTTTTTTATCTTCAACAGAAACGAGGCAAACTCCTCAGCGCTGCAGGTGATGTTGGCTCATCTGGTGCTCAGTTGCTTGAATACATGGGCGAACCTGATGTTGACCAGAAAACTCAGGTGTGACTCTAATATTGTAAATATTTTTGGGCTTCCATGGCCAATTCTACTTCTACTAGCTCTCCTCCCGAACTGTTTCTTCTTCTGCTGCTGCTTCTGGCTCTCCTTCACTTTCTTTCTCTAACTCTGTCTCTTTCTCCTCTTTTGTTTCTTCCTTCTTGTTTCACCTCCTTCTGCCTTTGCTTCCACTCCTTTTCTTCTTCCTTTTCCTTTTTCTTTTCCTTCTCTTCCTTCCATCCTTCTCCTGATTCTTCTTTATCCTCAT